ATTTTAATATATACAAACAACATTGATTTTAATCACAATGACTAGATGTTTTGAAAAAGTCACTATTATTATCAAATATAAAACCATGCTATAGTACATAAATGGGAAGAAACAAGTGTCATCGGAAAAAAGAAAAACTTTTATTCCATTTATTTTATATGACATTTTTGTATACTAATAAAGAATGCTTTAGCTTATATTGTAGCATAGGTTATTGCTTTGGTTACGAATACCCAATCTCTAATGTGTTTATTTATTCAAACCTTGCTCTAATTCAACCACATGTAACGTCGCTTAAATGTTAATTTCTATAGTTTTCATATGCCCTTCAACTTTCTAAACTTTATTTTAAACACAATACTTTAACAATCAATATCCCATTCATAACAACTTCTTCTTTTGACTCGTATGCCATATCAAAATGAAGTTATCTTGTAATAAACTATTACGAATTAGAGCTCGAACTCAACTTTGTTATTGGTTCCGAAGTGGAGACACAAACCACTTTTTTCCAACAAAATCCCAATTCCTAGAGATTATCGTTCCCTGTTGAAAATGGACACGATGATGTATTTATATTCCCCGATGGGTATAATGAATATATGGGCAAGAATTCGGGGATGAAATTTTGGATTGGGTCCAATGTATTCCTCAAACCCCATTACAATCTCTTATTTGCATCCCTTGTAAAAAGAAAACCAAGGTGTGATGCAAAGATGGTATATGAAATGACACCCTACACATATCGAACTCATTATATGAAATGGCACCCCACACATATCGAACTCATTATATGAAATGGCACCCCACACATCTCGAACTCATTAAGTCACTATAAATATTATTCAATTATATATTTTAGGGCTTTAAACGAACCGAACATTCAACGAACCGTTTGACGGAAAGTTCGTTTATGTTCGTTCATTTAATAAATGAAAGAAAATGAACACACATTCTTGTTCGTTTAGTTAAACAAACAAACATGAACAATAGTCTCGTTTTTTCATTTATTTTCGTGAACGTTCGTTTATGTTTATTTATGTTCGTTCGTTTAAGTTTATTATGGTTATATATATTCATTTTTTTTTATTACATTACTATCTTATATGTTCTTTTATGTTTATATATGTTCAATTGTGTTTGTGTAGCTTTGTTCGTTTAGCATGTACATGTACGTATCATTTTGTTTTGAATAGTAAGATAAGATTTTACATCTAAAACTATTGATATCAAATCAAACTCTCTATATGGTATTAGAGATCGGCTCAAACTCTTCCTCGCCAAGTTTTTCTCAGTCTTCATCCCCAGTTCATCCAAGATCTCCGATGTCAGACCACTCGTCTTTTTTGGTTAACCCATCCATGAAAAACCTTACAGTTGTAACATTCCCTGCAACCCTAAAACTAAACTCATCCAACTTCCTGGCCTGGAAAACTCAAGTTTAGACGCTGCTCTATGGTCTTGATCTCTTTAAATTTCTCGATGGCTCTCACCCTAAGCCGTCACCTACTGTTAATACCGACGGAAAACAAGTTCCTCATGACGACTATCCACAATGGTTCCGGCAAGACAGGCTGATTTTCGGTGCTCTTGTTGGCAGTCTCTCTGAAACGATAGTCCCAATAATCCAAGGTGTTGTTTCTTCTCGTGATGCTTAGGAAATCTTGGAGAAAACCTATGCCTCTCCAAGTCGTGGTCACATAAAACAACTAAAACATCGGCTGAAACAAACTACAAAACTTCCAACCCAATCTGTTTCTGACTACATGTGACAAATCAAAACTATCACTGATGAACTGGCAATCCTAGGAAAGAAGATGGATAATGAAGACATCATTGACATCATTCTTGATGGCCTCGATCAATCTCAATACAAACCCATACTTGATGCAATTCATGCTAGAGATACCCTGATCTCATTCAACGAATTACATGAGAAACTAATCAATCACGAGCTTTCTCTGGCCCAACAAACTCAGGTCACTGGACTTCATCAACCAGCAGATGTGTTTCACATGCAACAGAACCATCAGCAAGGTTCCGTCCATCGTTCTTGGCCGCCAAAGAACCAAAATGTGTCTTCTGTCAATTACAGTAGTTCTCCTCATCATGGACAAGGCATATTGCCCACTCCGAATTCTAATGCAGGTTCAAAACCCTTCCTTGGCAAGTGCCAATGGTGCCATCAAAAAGGGCATTCTCTCACACACTGTCAATCGTTCAAGAAGATGCATCCCAAGATCATTCCTCCACCGTATGAGCGTAACATGCAGACAAAACACGCTCAAGTTAACACCATGGGACTAGCTTCTGCTCCAGATTAGGCTAGTTGGATCTTTGACAACAAACTCTAATTGACCCAGTATAACAATTTGAATTTAAATACAACAATTAATTTGGCGGGTCACTTAACACGAATATGAACAAGATTCGTTCGTTTATCCGTTTGTATTTGTTTATTTTTTTAGTTAACTTAAATGAACGAACATGAACAAACCGTTCTTTGCATTCGCTCGGTTCATTTACAACTCTATATATTTCTATCCACCAAAATATTTCAAGTCAAAATTTATGTATCCAATATTATTCATAAAATCATACATAACTAATATATGTGAATAAACTTGTTTAACTTATAAACCAACTCTGTTATTTCATCAACACATACCACTCTCCATCTTCACTTCTTCCCCAACTCACTCATAACGTTGTCACATGGAGGGAGTATTTTGTCACTTATTAATCACAGGGCTAAAGTCATAACTTAGTAAGGTTTAAATTGCCAATTTAGTAACAATTGACGGACCATTATTGTAACTTACTTATGGCATATATTATTGAGTGAAGTCCGTAGATTTTTATCTTCTTGCCCAATTCCATTTTCCTCCTCCGAATCTTTTTCTCTACCGAGAGAAAGAACGAGGAGAAAAACTCGGTTTGATTTCAGATCAAAAGACAGAAAGTGCGATTTTTTTAAAGGGTTGAATCTTGATTCAACAAATGACGAACAACAGTGAGCTAAAAAAGGAGCTTTTGGAGCAAGTATACCATGAAAACTGCCCGGGTTGTAAAGTGGATCGTCAAAAACGGATGCAAAAGGGGTTACCCATTAAGGAGCTCATTTTTATTTGGATCGTGGTCTTATGTGTTGGTAAGTATATTGCTAATGCTTTTATTTATTCCTTCAAGTTTAATTAAGAATATGTTTGATAGAGTAGCTTGAAAAGTTAATTTCAACTAAGAACTAGTTTTTGTCTTATACATCAAATGTTGCCGATAAAGTAATCATCTTTGGTAAAATTGATAAGTGAGATAAGAATATATAAAATGACATAGAAGAGTGTTAACTGAAAATATACATATAAAAATATATTTGAAAATTTTGTAAAGAAATACGGAGTATGAGTTTATCAGTAAAATATAGAAAATAACTTTTCAAAAACAAGAATCTAATGCCTTATTATTATTATTATTATTATTATTATTATTATTATTATTAATTTCATAAGTTAAAGAATTTAATAAAATCTTTTTGATGGTTTTTCCTATTTTAATGTGTTTTCAGTCTACTCGAGACATGTGTGGCCGCCTTAGTTTATTACTGTCGAAAATAAAACAAATCCTAAATCAAGCAATTTGTATACAAATGGTTCTGCATATATCACATTAAATACCTTTTACAAGGGAAATGATTTATTATATAATACACGTTTTTTTTGTTTTTTTTGTTTTATTTTATTATTTTTTATTTATAATTAAAATGTTTTTAATCAGCGGGTATCAGATGATGCCTTTTCTTTTTAAGATTGAGGGTTTAAGTCTTGTCGGAGACATATATGAATTTAGAAATAGTTTAAAATTAGATTAGTTTGCCCTTCCGAAAAAAAATATAATGCACGTTTTGTAATTTATCTATGCTTTAAAAAAATGTATAATTTGTATATTTTATAATATGTTAAAACATAAATCGTTATATATATTAGAAAATTGATATATATGAATATCTTCTTTTTAACATTATTTAAGTCGTTTATCATTTTGTCTTTATGTACATTTAAAAAATAATGACATAATGTCAATAAAGTTCATCAAACAGCTATATATCGGAAACTTGTTTCTTTAAAATAACCCAAAATTTATAAAAACACGTAATAAATTAAATAACTTGGTAATGACAAGATATTATAATATTTCATATTGGTCTAAATAAATATATATAATCAATCAAAGGTCTGGGTCGCTATTTATTTATTTATTATTATTTTTTTCAATCTTGGTGAAAGAAACATGACATAAGTTTGAAACGTGAGGCTCATTTCATTTTTGCGAACTGAGATTTTTGTCCATTTAAATGTGGGTAAGTATTATGTGGTGTGTGTGCGTGTTTTCATTTTTGCTAAAAAAAAATCTTAAAAAAAATATTTTTTTTTTGTCAAAAAATCGATTTCTTTTGTTTTATTTTTTCATTTTTTGGATTCAGTTGGATTAGTCGTAGTTTTTTTTTCAAATGGAATCAAAAGAATTAAAATTAACCAATAAATAATTTATATATATATATATATGATTAAAATTATGTCGTTTTGAGGACATTTTTCCGTTTCAGTTTCAGAAAAATTTACATATTATTATTATTTAGATGAATATAAAACAGTCGGATTTATATAAAATATGACGTTACAAAAGTCATAGTAAAAGATCAAATTAAACTGTCTTAAACTAATTACAAGGATATAATAATAATAATAATAATAATAATAATAATAAAGTAAATATTTTCACTATTCATTTATAGGAAATTATTATCAATGATTTGGGTAAAAGAAAAAGGTGTATTTGATACAATTAAATAGTTAGAATATAT